CACGTGCTGCGTGAGTCTGAAGAGGAATTCATGGACTCGTATGGGGACTTACGGGCTAATATCAGATTTATGGATTTGATCTGGACTGGCCTGGGACATTTTCTCAATATACAACTGCTCTTTGATATAAAGCTCTCTCTTACATACATGAGTGTCAATGAATTTGTTTCTCTAATCACCCCGGGCTAACACAGACAGCCTCTATCATCATTTCCCATCTCTGTGCCTCCTCTGGTAAGAAAGGAGATCATTCTAGACACAGAAGGAGGAGCTCTCAGCCACCCATGTGCAGCAGAATGAGACACTGCCGCGTCCTGAGTGCGTTTGAGGACATTGTCATAGCAACTCTGCCAACCCATCTCATCAATGCATAAAGCTTAGCCCATGACACCACGTGCTCCAAAAGGGTGGGCATTCAAAGGCAAGGTCAATGCCACAGCCATCTCTGAACCTGACACTCTGCTTTGGGCCAAACCCAGAGAGGTCCATCTGTGTTTACGCAAAAGCCAAGCTCTTCAGGCCTCACTGAAGCCCTGACAGCCTACCCGCAATCAACATAACCAGACTCACCCCCGTGCTTACGTCAGGCCCATTCACATTTTTAGTTTTAGGGTTAATCATAGGTAGTGGCCGGAGTTGAAATTCTTTCTAAGAAATTCCAATCCTAAGAACATATCCTTTGGAAACAGATGCAACCACCAAAATAAATATACGAGGATGTGAGTTATAATTCATGATCACACAAACCTGGGGGGAAAGTCTTCGTCAGGAAGGAAGGTTAAATAAGATCGGCCTAGTCATATTAAGGAATGCAATGCAGTTTTTAAAAAGAATGACTTAGGCTTAAATGGACTGACAGGGGAAAGTGCCCTTGTTATAAGGGAAGAGAGCAAATTGCAAATAGTATGGTTTCTGTGTATGGGTATATATATATATTCATATAAACTTCTCAAAGAATTTATTATAAACTACAAGGGGGACCCCCTCCCAAAACAGAATTATTTTCAAACTATGTATTTAATTCTTTTTTTTACAAAACAACCGTATCACCTTCAAATACTCTCCATCCCACTTAATACATTTGTCAAATCTGCGATTCCATTCTTGGAAACGGTTTTCAAACTCATGTTTGGGTGACTGACAGCACCTCCCTTTTTTCCTTCATCTCTTCTACTTTGTCAAATCACTGTCCTTTATGTCCCTCTTTGTTTGTGGAAACAAAAAGAAGTCGCACTGAGTGAGGTCAGGTGAGTAAGGTGTGTGGGGCAAAAGAGGCATGCTGGGTTTTTTTTTGCCAAAAACTGGTGTGCTGAGATGGTTGTGTGAGCAGGTGCACTACTGGGGTGGCAAAACCAGTCCCCCGTCTGCCACAAATTAGGCTTCTTTGTTGCACACTATTACATAATCTTTTCAGAACCTCTAAATAGAAATATTAATTAATAGTCTGACCTGCTGGCTCAAACTCCAAGTCAACATTTTCGTCTGTTCAGGAAGTTGACAGACATCCAGAATGAG